CCTCAGATTGTTCAATTCACTTTTTTTAAATTTTCTTGTAACTTTAAATACGAGCGTATTTCTTCTTCAACCAATGCTCCGGCTTGTAATGAAATAATATAGTTAATCGGCTATGTCTTGGAAGTGTTATTTGTGGTATAACGTTATATTATTACATTAGGCTTCGTAAGAACATTTGAGATGCACAATTACACAACTTAATGGACTATAAATTATACTATTAATAACACGACAAATAAATGTTTCAATTAATGCAACAGATCAAAGTAGAGTGATGTTTTCTCATTTTAATCTCCCCTATTATAAAAGCTTGGTGATTCGAGTCGTTGCATCGGCTGGAGTGAAAGGTGTGGAAAAGTTCCCCGCCTGAAATGATGATTCCGGCCGCCTTACGTAAATTGGTCCAGGATCGTCGTTTCGCAATTTCCTAACTGATTCACGTGGGCGGAAGCTCCAAGTCCCTCGAATAAGGAGCGGGGACTTGCGAAATCGGGACGAAAAGCCTTTTCACGCCGTGCATTGCGGGAGGGGTAAACACCGAGCGCCGTCCCCGTGGAGAGTAAAGTCAAATTTGACGTTCGTCAGGAAACTTTGCGAAGGAATTTTACAAAAGTTTGACTTGCAGACTGCCGAACGAATGAAATATTTTCCAATTTAGCTAAATAATAGAATATTTTGTTTTCTTCTGTATTTGAATTTTGAAAAATTTAAGTATTAATATTCTGGTTTTTCTTATATAAAGTCATTTTTGTATTGAAATTTTATTGTGAAAGCAAAAGACCTGATTATAGTACATTTACAATAAACAAATTTACAATGAATAATTTCTTATGTATATACAATTGGTAGCATTTGTTTCCATGGCCCTGGCCATCAGTGAGGCAACATTTTTATATATTTGTTTTATTTTATTATTTATTTATCTATTATTTTTATTTATTGTTATATTATTATTTAGTAGCTCGTGGTAAGCAATTATTTTTCGTTTTAAGCTTATCTACAATAAAAATATAAAACTGATCCTATCTTTTTCATACAGATATTCTATACACACGTTGCACTGGACGAACTTCCAGCCCTAGCCAATTTTTCCTCAATTAACATAATCTTGGACAGATCGCAATAAAATGGCACAGAACCTCCCCGTCATTTAAATGACAAATGGTGCCTTCGGATTTAGAATTATTAAAAGGTGTTTTATTGAGTTTTAGAGATATTAAAAGGTGTTTTATTAAGTTTTAGAACATCACCTGTAATTTTCTTAATTAGTCTATGTTACCCAATCGCAAATCACCCCTAAGATACGAATTGCCTGTAGGTCAAACCGTAATACAACTATCCAGTTTTATACAGTATTATCCAGTAGCCATATTAGCGACTTTTAGCCAATTTTGTTCACACCAAAACCTGTTTTGTTTTCATGTGCAAACCTGATTTTAATTTAGCGTTATTCACCACTTAAAAAAAGAAAAATATAATAGATTTTTTAGTATTGTTAAATTATTGATGTTGTTCACCAAAGAAAAAACATGAAAAACGAATTTATTTCAACTAGTTGTTGCTAGCACATTATATTTCCAACAAATACGTAATAATCTTTAAAAAACCAAACAATATTTCATAAACATATACACTTTATGCAGAATCATAATCGTATTAGTTATCGAAAATTAATTATTAATGTCTACATAACTTTTCGCCAAACTTAGCAACAAACAATAAGTGCTTTTTTGACAAGTCTTCCAATTTTTCAGAGAGTTTTGTTTACCTATTACTTACACGTATTTTTATATCTGTTAATTAGATTACAATGACAACAAATTTTGACAGGTAAATTGCCATCAAATTTCTATTAGAATGTAAAGAAAATATTGTTAGCACTTTCTGATTATAAGATTGCTCGATAAAGTTTCGATGGAGGGATCGACTTGCAGTTTAGTCGTTTCAGATAATTCTGGTCCGCCAATCCACGCTGGTTTTGTCTTACTGTCGTGTTTCGACACTTTTCAATTTTCAATGGTGCGTTTATAAACCTTATTTCAAAGAACCATTGTTATATTTTCGTAAACGACAAAAAAATTATTTCATTAACTTGTTTTGCAATGAATTATGATTAATTTACCACAACACCACCACTACTATTTTCAATGTAGTTTTCGGTATGACATTCAATATTTTGTATAAATCAAGATCGTTTGAATTTAAAATAAATTGCTCAATACTTTCTAAACTAGTTTAGTCGAGATATTTTATAATTTTGATATTTAGTACCAATATCAAATTGTTTTAAGTTGATTACATTTTTCTGATCAACACACTAATAGTTATTTGTGCCCAATGTACCTTTTTCATAAAATACAATTTATGTTAAATTCTTAACAACTCTATTCGAGGATAATGGAATCCATGTTGACAAAAAATAACAAACAGTTCTCTCTCTCTCTATCTCTCTCTCTCTCTCTCTCTTTAAATAAAGAAACCCGTTTTTATAGTTCAGGGGGATTGAAAAGGTCTTCTGCTTGTTGAGAAATATCCATTTGCACTCGTCGCCTCCCAGTTTGGCCTCTTATGCAAACTAACTCTCAGGGGGGATTTGTTTCATGAGTACACCTAATGTTTAGAATCCATTAGCTCTTTAGTGGGGTAAATAAAACATCGAATAAGAGCAGAGTTAATTGTATTTGCTGGTTCTGGCATGAGTTGAGCAGAGATACTTACTTAAAAAAGTAATACGCCTTCTAATTATTGTATTTGCATATTATTTTCGTTTTTGAATAGGCTTCTTCAAAAACCCTTTTACAATCAAAATCCTTGTTCTCTTTTGTACTTGAGAGCGAAACCAACTTTTGATAAATGAAGTAACTCACCAAACTCTATGTAATGGTATCATAGAGCTAACAAAAATTATCACTGTCGTGTTAAAACGGCAAATTGTCCTTCAATCACTCAGCCTTTGCATGAATCTTATGTTTTGACTGATTATATTCTAATAATAATATATTTTGCAAAATGTGTAAGCGTTTATTGTAATTCAGTAATAATAATTGTATGTGCTAGCCAGAATTAACTTTAGAATTGTGTTATTATTTGTTAGTACGAAGTCCGTTCGACTAATTCGGATATTGGGCTAAAACCAAAGGAGAATGTTGATGTAAGTCTGTAAAAGCAGTGGTTCAAGGCTTACCAGTTACATTTTGAAAATGAATTACGACACAGTTGTACATTCTACAAGATAAAAGGTTGTAACTTAGGAAGTTTTGTAAGATATGAAATTAAAACATGATTTCCAATGTAGTATGAGCTTCTTAGTAGAATTTTTGATTTTGTATGTTGACTTATAAAGGTGATTGCATATAGATGCGTTGAATTACGAAAAATGCGGAATCGACTAGATTCCAGACGAGTCAAATCATTACCAAAAGGTTAGAATTTAAGGTTGGTCAGCCTCTTCAGAAATCAGGACATTTAAGGACAACTCTTGCGAAAGGACCTGACTGGCCAGACGCGTGAACTTAAAATTGTCGGAACTGCGTAACTAGTGCTTTTTTTCTGCTGAAAGTATCTGCAAGGTCGGAGCTCACTCCAGGCGTCGTACGAAAAATAGAGAGCCGTTTGAAATTCGTAGCAACGGCCGCACCTTCGTTTCGCAAGATCTGATATCTGGAATCCAGGATTGACCAACATTTAACCAATTTTGTTAAATACAATAATTAAACATGCAAAATGTACGGACATTGTAGGTGAAAAAACGAGATGAAATCTATAATAAGAGTAAAAATAATTTTACTTAAGCCAATACTCATATCTTACTTGTTCAAGGAATCGTAAATTTGTTTTGCATTTCCATTTCTTTTCCTTAAGGATATATCAATAATTTTAGATAATTTGAATATCAATATGTTTTCATCAACAAAAATAAATTGTGAGATTCCGCTTGGTGGTCCGCCTAGCGTCGCTGGTTTGGCTTTGTCATACGCGTTTCGGCGTATAGAAAGACGAAATTTTGCGTTCCTATGCACATGGTTTTTGTTAATGACTTTGCAAATTCATTACCACCTTTCTAAGATTGTACCCAAACGCACCAAAACACTGAGGATACGTAGGCTATCTGAAACGACCAAATTTTCCTTGTTGGTTCATTCTAAGCGACTGACCCTGATTTTCTTACACTGTGTACGTTGTAGTAGAGTAAGAACCATAATAAATATAACTTAAACTATACAGAACAAAATCTTCTTGAAGAGGTTGAATAAATTTGTGGGTCAATTTGAAAATGTATATCTCATAATATTTCGATGTTAAATCGATTTTCATAAATCTACTATTTATGTTTAAATTGCACAAAACCCTCCGAACTACCGTAAATCAGCACAACAGAAACCTCGCCGACTGAAGAGACAATGGCCGCGAGATCTCTTAAAAAGTGTTGGCGATGGTAGTGAAAGTAATTATGCCACAAGTATCAATTAAACAGACCAATGGGCATTTTCTCCACTCTTGTTTTTAATTTTGTATATTTTACCTTGCTTATTGTTACATGTAATATACTGTAAATTAAAAAAAAATTGAATTTAATGTTATTTTTAACTCCCTATTTTTCGTGGTCAGCTTGACCAATTAATTCAATTCAATTAATTGGTCAAGTGGACCACGAAAAATAGTGAATTTAATGAATTGAAATGAAGTACACTTCACTAAAGCTCTCCGTGGCCATTTCATTTGTCGCCGAGAATCCAATCCGATTACACGACATTTGAAAAATGGCAAAAAGGAGAGAAAATTCAAAAGGTGGGGTTGAGATGGGGAGTTAGTGTCCGAGGGGATCGAAATCACGATAGCTCAAGTGGGAGAGCAGAGGCGTATCAAGCCGAAGGTCGTGGGTTCGAATCCCGCTCGTGTCACTGACTTTTTTTATCTCAACATAAAACCTTAATTAATTGAATGTTATTTTTACCTATAGATTGTCGTTTATCACTAGTGTTTTTTGTCCGTTTTTCCAGATGAAGTACACAGTCCAAAACAAGGCGTTGTGCCTCTTGAGCATCATTCTCGTCCACACGGCTCTCGGCTCGCCGGTCGTCAAGAGGGACGTCTACTCGATAGCAGGAGATGACGGTTACATCGACGGAGTTGCAGACCAAAGACAGGTACTCGGGAGAAAATTTTTTTGGTGTAATGAGATTTGCGGAGTGAATAGGCGTGAAATCGCCAATTTTCCTCTCGACGTGTCCTGTTGACATACGTAAACCGTTTTATGTAATTGATCGGTCAAGGTATAACAAGCCCTAACCGTATTACTCTTTATTGGAATATGATTGATTTTTATGTCAGAGGTTTTTCATTCAACGCTTTGAATGTTCAATTTTTTCAACAATAGTAAGGTAATTCCTGTTATAACCGCGCTGAAAGCTATGGACGAAGACTTAATTTTTTTCAAATTATACTAAAATACAATTCTAAGGGATTTGAACCCATAATTGTTAGCATATACAATATCTGTGGTAAACTCCCTGTTAACAATAGAAAACAACCAGATTCCATTTGCCAATTTTAAAATCATCCGTCTTTAGTGGTTTCCATTTTTCTAGGTACGAAAAAATTGAACTAACATTGGCTTAATTTTTTTCCCTTCGTCATCCTCTAGATCGTGTATTTAGCCTCTAGATTTCTTCAAATGATATTTGTTCACTGTTTGTTATTGCATTTATTTACTAGTTTTCCTTCAGTTTTAATGCATTTTTTTTGCCTCGCAGCTTGTTTTTATATCAGGAATTCTGAAATATGAATAACTATTTTGCTGCATTGCTTATCTTCTAAAAATCGTAATAAACTAGTGATTAATTAGCATTATATTTAGTGTTCTGAATGACCAAATTACTTCTTTCAATTAATTAACATTTTTATGTAAGGTTTTGGTTGAAATGAAAAAGTTAGTGTCACGAGCGGGATTCGAACCCACGATCTTCGGCTCAATACGCCAAATACGAAAGGTAGGTTGAGACGGTGTTGGTGTCCAAGTGGATCGAAGTACGATAGCTCGGTAGAGCAGAGGCTAATTGAGTCGAAGATCGTGAGTTCGAATCCCGCTCGTCACACTAACTTTTTCATTTCAACCAAAACCTTGCATAAAAATGATAACTAGTGGTCAATGTTTGAATTTAAGAAAACATTCAACTTTTTTAAAAATCTTATGTGAAAAGTATGGCCTTGTAATTGCATTAATGTATATTAATGAAAATGTTGCGAAAGTGTAAATATGGGAAATGTAATTTCAGCCAATGCCTAACGGTCAACTTTTGCAATTAATCGACCCTCATTCAGTATATTTATTATAGAATAAAACTCCTAAGCGAATTATAATTTTTCAAAATGAATCTCCGATTGTGAAATCTTAAAAATTATATCCAAACTATTATAGTTTGCCTTAAGATAAATACTAGACAAACTAGCCATTAACTAAAGTTAGGTATCGAAGGATACCTTATCAAACTCTATAGTTTAAAATTTTGTTTCCTTTTCCAATCGTTTATATTAAACATATATTTATTTAATGTCATATATAAATGTGTGGAGATGAGTGACCGTTAATCGATAGTTATTCAGATATCGTGAGATGCGGTCGGGTGTGATATAGGTTTCAGAAAAACATTTTCTTTATCCTGCCAACGTTTCGATCTTTTATTGAGATCATCTTCAGGGCTCAAAGTGTTTGTCTTCTGTGTAACTCTCAACACGACAAGCAAGGATGGCACAATTACCCAGAAGACAAACACTTTGAGCCCTGAAGATGATCTCAATAAAAGATCGAAACGTTGGCACGATAAAGAAAATGTTTTTCTGAAACCTACATCACACCCGACCGCATCTCTCGATATCTGAATAACTAGTTATATATAAAGATTTGCCTGGATTCATTATTTTTTTAATTTAAGGAAGGTATTTGTTTGTGTGGTTTAGGTTTACTTTTCTTCACCTGTAAACATATAACGTTAGACTTAGCTTAACCTCTTTTGAAATAAAATATTTTATATTCATAATTATACATGCATACTTGCTATACAGTGGTGATCCATTTTTTAAAATATTTATGTACATACCAATTTTGATCATTTTTTGCTGAGGCACTGAAAATTACTATAACTATTATTTTGACATTTCTTGTTGAGGTATGAGAGTTGATGAACCTGTATTTGCGCCATTTTAAGTCTTCTGGTCCGCATCCTAGCCATCTTCAATGTGTGCTGAAATTCGTAAGACAAGCTATGGCCAAAGCAGTGAGAATATACCATCAGAACTTATTTTTCTTGTAAAATAAAAAAATCAGTTATTTAATCGGAAGTCTTTTCTATTTGGCAATCCGGATTAAACCCATGACACATGGTATTCCCCGGTTATTCAATTCTTCTGGTGAATGCATTTCACTTTCCATCTCAGCCGGACTGTCCTCTTTAACTTCTGACTCACCCGGTTGAGAAACGTTTCAGGCAGATTTTAATAACGGTGAACTTTTCAGCTGAGCCTTTACGACGCGGACGTCTTCGGAGGCGAAGCGCACGAGAACGGCGCCAGGGAGAAGCGTCTGCTTAAGCTGAAAGCCCTCGGAGTCGGAGCGGGACTTAAAGCCGCGGGAGCAGGGCTTAAAACTGTCGGCGTCCTGGGTGCGAAAGCCGTAGGAAAAACAGCTATCAAAGCCGCCACGACTGTAGGAGTCAAAGTCGCCAAAGCAGCCATCACCATCGGAATAGCCAAACTCCTCCTCAGTCTCGTATTTGGTGTAAGTACACATTTAAATTTAAATTGTTTACCAAGTTATATAATTTAAGCTTTACTAGACGAAGTATGAGAAGTGTTCGTGTAAGATAAAGGAACGTTGGAATTGAGTGAGAGTTAATATAAAGTGACCAATCACATTTTCCAAATAAGGGGAATCGACTGCAACTGTGCAACTGTCTCGATCGAAAAGACTACTTTGTACGAAGAACAATTTGATGAACCAATCATAATTGCTTATGATTGTGCAGAATTTCAAATACAACGAAACAATGCTTACAGCAACATGTTCAACTTACATCGTTACAACATGTTTAGAGGTTTAGGTTGTAATCACCCTAGTTCATCTGCTAATTTATTTCCGCTTTCAAGTGGTGCAACTGACAAACTGCAATGGTGCTTACATATTAAAAGACTTTTTTTTAAATGAAGGTTGATTTTAAAGAAATTTATTTCTAAACGATTTATTTATTTTATGCCAGGATTCATCGTAGTAGTTCGACGACGATTCCTTTCATTTACGTTCACTTTTTCTAATGCTTTCACCATTTTTTTTCCAGAGTGCTCTCCTTCTTCACACTAGACTTTTACTTCGATTACATAGAATTACAAATCATATCAAGGAGAGCTGTTTGGCTCCTCTCTGGAGTGCAGACCACAGGTGGGCGCAAATCGGCCACGCGTGTTTTGGTGCGAGGCGCGGATTGCGCAACGGTGAAAGCTCCGATGCAAATGCCCGTCGTGGAATTAAACCGCGAAATACATTTTTTTAATCACAATTTTATTTTGAAAACACGGCCGTGGTCGAAGTAGGAACCGAGCTGGAAAAACGGCACCTAGTCCTTTCCGAAACTCCATCTCACCTTATACTACATCAATATGAGAAAATATCTCAATCGAATAATAAAGCCGGCGTATATAGAATTCGTGAGATTTCTCGATGAACCTAAAGTTGGATCGTCTCGGTCCACAAGTCTCGCTCCCTCTGAAACCACGCCTCTGAAGATGGCGAATGCCGAAACAACGAGACTTGGCATTAAGAGCAGAAATTAACAAACTACACGATCATTAGTCAATTTTTATGCTTCACTTTTATGTTGGGACAAAATTCAACTTTATTTCTTTATTCAAAACATATATTTTGAATTGAATCCAAATTATATATGATATAAAACGAAAGTTTACTCAAAAAATGAAGTAAACATTTAACAATTAAAAATTCCATTTAAATGCAGGAAGTGATCCAGTTGAAATAATTATTTGTTAAATTGGCTCGATGAATGAATAATTAATAACGGTGAATAATTTTAATGATTACGTAATATTTTTTCTACGAGCCGACTTGGTAAAATACATTCGTTTTGTGCATCTCTTATTGAGAAACTAAGTAACTAAACTAATAAATTATTAAAAGTGCACTGTGACTGATATTTGTTTATCATAACTATATCACTGTTAAATTATAGAAATATTGAAAGAAGAAATGATTCATCATAAACAATAGTAAATAAGACTCGTACCACAAAAATTGTAACCCAATAACTATATATCATTCATCTTCATAGGAAAATATACAACCTTATAACAAAGCAATCCTTTTTGTTTTCTTCATTAATTTGTTAAATTTAAATTGTAAATAAATCATTTTATTTTATTTCGACCAATCAAAATTAATCCTTAGGGAGTGATCTTTCTTACTATTTATACAAAATAAAATGAGATCGTAAAACTGAGCAACGCTTTCATATTTTACATAAGTAGGTTTAACTTGATTTTTTATCTAATACATTGAGTCCCGAATATTCATATAAATCATGAAGTTGCGTACCATCTCTTGCGTTTTTATACTCAATTTAACAGCCTAAAATTTATGGAATATTCATGTTTTTTTAATTTTATAAATTTTTTTCTCGTTTTCGGTTATTAACATTCGTCTTCTCGGCTACAGCCTTGGTTGAGCGTGTATAAAAAAAAACAACATTTAATGGATTAGCCAACTTTCTATTATTTCCCTCATTTCTGATGCAGAATTGGCTTAATCTACCATCAACCATGGTAATAATAAACTAATCGTTAATTAACACGTAATATAGGAAGGTCAGATTTTGCAATACGCTGATAAAAGATCCGGCGTCGAAAGATTGCATGAGCTATTCATTATTTCTAGAAACAGGATCAATGCCGGTGTAAGATTGTGTAACTGCTAACTAAAAGATCCTTCTGACAATGAGACTCGGTTTTTGAGTTTTTATTGCCTTTCGCTTTCACTCTCCTTTTTTTCCTAACGACTTAATAGTTTCCATTTCATTTCACTTCTAATGACGAGAGGAGAATTGTAAAGTGTTGTAATATGCCTAACGCAATAAACGACATAAAGGATTATCTCAACAAGCCTTATTGCCCTGGTCAAACAAAACTTAAGTATAACTAAGGAAGGAAGAAGGTTTCGGGAAAGAAAGTATGTAATACATTGCATTCTTCGTTTCTAAAACCAGGTCGACGACACTTCGGTTGTCAACAGAAAAGTGGAAACTTGGATGAGAATCGGAATTTTAGAAAAATGGACATCAAAGGATGTAAAGTCTGCTGTACTTGCACGTCCAGTTTCTTCGGCTGTAAGAGCAATAACCAACGTGTCTGTTTGCATTATTGACCAGGTCACCAGAATGCATGGTGGTAGCGATGATTTCTTAGCTCAGAAGAGATTTTCAAGAATTCCAGTATAATTAAAAAAAACATGTCCTTAATATCTAAAGTTAGACTATCCGTCTAATGGCAACACAGAAATCGGAACAGAGGATTAATAAGAATCAAGAAGGCCGTCACAATAAACAAGGTGCACTGTATTTCACCATCGGTTTCTAGGGCTGCAAGAGAAATGAGCAGCAGCGCACAGAATCTAGAATCTGTTGCAGCATCGGTAATTTCTTTTAATGACAGTCATTTCAGTTTAAAGAATCCCCCAGACCACCATGATCCACGGTAGTAGCGATGACTTTTTGAAAACTAAGAGATTTTGTAAGCATTCCAGTATATTTTTCAAAAACTTCTCTCTGGAAGTTTGACTATCCGTTGAATCTCAATACAATAAGGTTTCGGGAAAGAAAGTATAAATGTAATACACTGAATTCCACGTTTCTAACACCAGGATTAATCTTAAGGTCGACGACACGATTGTCAACAGAAAAGTGGAAACTTGGATGAGAATCGGAATTTTTGAAAAATGGACATCACAGGACGTTGTCTGCTGTACTTGCACCATCATTTTCTTCGGATGTAAAAGAAATAACTAACATGTCTGTTTGCATTATTGACGCTTATTTAACTTAAGAAAGAATCCTCCAGGTCACCCGGATGCATGGTGGTAGCGATGATTTCTTAGATCTGAAGAGATTTTCTAAGAATTCCAGTATAATTTAAAGAAAAAGATGTTCCTAATCGCGAAAGTTAGACTATCGTCTAATGGCAACACAGATCTGGGAACAGAGGATTAATAAGAATCAAGAAGGGCATCACAATAAACAGTCTACTGTATTTGCACCATCGGTTTCTTTAGCTGCAAGAGGAATGAGCAGCAGCGCACAGAATCTGGAATCTGGTGCAGCTTCGTTAATTTCTTTTAATGACTGTCATTTTAGTTTAAAAAATCCCCCAGACCACCATGATCCATAGCGACGACCTTTTGAAAACTGAAGAGATTTTGTAAGCATTCCGATATATTTTTCAAAAACTTCTCTAGAACTCTCTAGAAGTTAGATATCCGTTGAATGCCAACATTAAGGACATTAAGGATTAATAAAAATAGAACATCACAGTAAGCAAGGTTCGTTGTATTTGTACGAGAAATCAGCGGCAGTGAATCTGAAATCTGGTAAACCCTCGTCAACATGCATTATTGGCGTTGATTTCAGCATAAAGATTGCTCCAGGCTACCTGAAACCACATGGTAGCGGTGGTGTTTTAGACCTTTCAACTATATTTATCCCATAATTCTACTGTTATTAGTTTCCAGCTCTAAATCCTAATTAATGTAACATGTTTCGTCTTTTCAGAAAATCAACCAGTTGATTGACTTTAAAACGAGACTGCTCGGCAGCTCGGGATCAGGAGGCGGACTTCTGAGCAGCAGTACGTCTCTTTCTTCGGGTAGCGGAGGCGGCGGCGGTGTCGGAGCGAGCGCTTCTGTCAATGCTGATGATGGCAGTCTCCACGCCGAGGCCGGTGCGTCTGTCGGCACCGATTCAGAGGTAGGGGTGAGTCATTTCAAACTCTATCCATCTCTAAGGCAGAGCAGCAATCCGCCTGCGACGAAATGACGGGCTCCCAATCACGCAGCTTATCCGATTTTTACGATTAAGCCAATCTCGCACCATTAAGCTTTACTATATTTGACAGACCAAGTTGTTCTACTTAACAGACCCAAGCAATTGATATCATCATTTGCTCTTTAATGCCAAAATGACTATTTACCATATAGTTGCTGACATTTTTATATAAATAAAAATTCTTGGTACAAATACTATGTTAATCCCATATAAATACTAAATATTTGAGTTTGTAGACATAAAACATTTTCTTCAGTCAGACAGTCAGACTGAGGAAACAATTGACTTCGATAATTGGCTACTGTACAGCTATATTATTTTTCTTGTTGAATACAATCATAAAAACTTCCTTGATTTTGAAGTAATTGAGATATTTACCAGGCTTTTTAACACTAAAGTAAAGAGATCAGGGATGAAGCCAAGCAGGTGAAAGAACCAATTTGTTTTGCTGCTGTCGAGCTTTCCACTGTATTTGACGCCTTCCTCAGGACTTTGAAAAACTTTACAATCAGTGGTGATAATTAGTGACCGTTAATCAATAATTATTCCGAAATCGTGAGGTGCGGTCTGGTGTGATGTAGGTTTCAGAAAAAGATTTTCTTTATCGTGCCAACGTTTCGATCTTTATTGAGATCATCTTCAGGGCCTGGGATTTACAAACATTGTTTAAATTTAACAAATACATATAGGATCTGGAAAAAAGTGAATTTATACAATGCAAAAGATATTTTTTATATTCAATAAAAAAATATTGTTTGTAAATCCCAGGCCCTGAAGATGATCTCAATAAAGGTCGAAACGTAGGCACGATAAATAAAATGTTTTTCTGAAACCTACATCACACCAGACCGCACCTCACGATTTCTGAATAATCATCGACTAAGGGTCACTAATCACCACACAAATCAAAATGTATTAAAAAAATCGTCTCAATTAATACCGCGCCATTTTTGCGTGTCGTGTTGAGAGTAAAACAGCAATATCGCACTGGCACTCTTAACACGACACGCAAGAATGGCACAATTACACAGAAGACAAACACTTTGAGTGAGTAGAAATACTTTGATTGAATATAAAAAATATATTTTGCATTGTATAAATTCACTTTTTTCCACATCCTACATGTATTTGTTAAATGTAAACAATGTTTGTAAATCCCAGGCCCTGAAGATGATCTCAATAAAGATCGAAACATTGGCACGATAAAGAAAATCTTTTTCTGAAACCTACATCACACCAGACCGCATCTCACGATTTCGGAATAATTATTGATTAACGGTCACTAATAATCACCACTGATTGTAAAGTTTTTCAAAGTACTGAGGAAGGCGTCAAATACAGTGGAAAGCTCGACAGCAGCAAAACAAATTGGTTCTTTCACCTGAATGGCTTCATCCCTGATCTCTTTAGTTTACTATTAATCATGAAGGCCGAGTCTCAACCTTACTCAACGAGACTTTTTAACCTTTTTTTAATGCATACTTGTTCATTTATTTTACTTTAGATGAATATAGTTTGATGTATGATCAATATTATGGTCAAGGGGTAGAATAAAAAAACAAAATACCTATACAAATATAGGGGTTGACCCTTGACCATAATAATGATCATACATCAAATTAAACTTCAAGTGGTCGATACCTTCTCTTCAATAAATATAGCTTACAAATAAATTACACCGTATCTTTGTTGATTTTTTCTTCGAATAAATTATATAAGAGATATTGACCGTTTTGTAACTGAAAATACCGAATAAAACGCTATCACGTTCACCTTTCACTGCTTCCGGTGAGCTCGTTCTTTCGTCGCAGCCTTTTACTCAGTTCAATGTCCAGTCAATAATCACTAGCATGTTATATGTGTTTGTTATTGTCCATTTTGTTCTATTAATATGCACGTGGTTTTGGGCTCTTTTGGTAACCGTCGATGTCTTTCTGTTTCCATGTTTACAGCCGTACAGGAGGTGATGGGCTCAGTGTAAGTCCGGCCATAGAGCAGCTCAATCATCAAAAAATGTTCTAAACCCCGTAGCTCTCCTTCATTAACCCATTTCATTTCGTGCCAACCGTCAGATCTTCAAAGACTGAAAACAGACTGGAGCGGCTTATTAAATTTCCGCATTTCATCTCTCGCTTTTCCTCATTTCCTTTTATTGAATCTTTGGAAGGTTTTCGAGAAAAAAATCAACTTTCACCAAGTGATTGTTTTGTAAATTAAAAGCAAATTCGTAGGTTGTATTTGTATTTGTAATTTTATTATACATAGGCATATTTTAACATGTAAATAAATTTTTTTTTTGAAATAAAAGGATTTTTTTTCTGAATTGTACTTTTCGCTCCTTCATCCCTTTTTAAATACTGTCCCTTCTTTGACAGAATGTGCATGCAGATTTCGTTTACGTAAGTAATTTTGTGATTTAAAAAATTTCTTGTTGTTTCGCTTTCATATGCTTGCTAATATATGAAACAGCTGCCTTAGAGATGTAGAGTTGGTTAATCACGCATGCACTTACACCTTTCTCATAACTATGTACTTTGTAATATACGTGTTATTTATCTCTTAATATCTCGTACAAGATTTATTTGTTAATCGTGTCCGAAACATGCGGATGACCTTCGGCATAAACCCGATCGGCGATTATATTGGTATAAGTTTTTGAAAATTCATTGTCTCTTATTAAAAACCAGAAATGATATGAGGATTTACTTGGATAATCGATATTTAAATAAAGAGAAAGAAAGAATGATGGATTGCAGTTGTTTGTTTGTGTGTGTGTGTGTGTCTGTGTGTGTGTGTGTGTGTGTGTGTATGTGTGTGTGTACGCGCGTCTGTGTGCGTTTTTTATTGTACATTTTACATGTTTAGATATTTGTGATTACATATATTTCCTTTTATAGAAATTTATTTTATTAAATCCATTATATTTAGTGGTCTATTGACCAATTACTTTTTTCAATTAATTAATCTTTTTATGTAATGTTTTTGGTTGAAATGAAAAAATTAGTGGCACGAGCGGGATTCGAACCCACGACCTTTCGTGGCCACGATAGCTCAAGTGGTAGAGCAGAGGCGTATTGAGCCGAAGGTCGTGGGTTCGAATCCCGCATGTGCCACTAACTTTTTCATTTCAACCAAAAACCTTATATAAAAAGATTAATTAATCTAAATTTTATTATTTTTGTTTCGCTTCTTTAATTAAGTTTTGATTTGACATATTTAAACTATTCATCAAGGTGCTACAATTTTCCAAAATTTATATCTATATTATTATCGAATTGGGTGGTATATTTTAAGAATTGAGGCTCCAGCAGTTGACCTTTCCTTAGGGCCCAAGAGCGTCCGTTTGAAGATTGGCTTCTTTTATTAGGATGCTTCACTCAAGTGATACATCAGGCAGCAAAAAATAATGTCATTCCAGCAGTGAATTTCTGTACCGCAAAAACAATTATGTTGTTCTAGGATGTTAAACCGATAGAGGTATTCACAATGTCTCCCTTGGCCGCTTAGCATTGTGTGTGTGTGTGTGTGTGTGTGTGTGTGTGTGTGTGTGTGTGTGTGTGTGTGTGTGTGTGTGTTAGGATAAAAAGATAAATTAACAGTTTAATGTGTAACGATGTCTGGCATTAAGCGAGTTTTAATGGTACCAATTGGGCTATGAACAAATTCATCTGGAGAAACACATCAAAGTTTCGTAAATTTTTTCATGAGCTAAACAGCCGTGACAATATTCGAAAATGATGTAAAGGTAATGGACCATTTGTTATTAAACAATGTATTTTGTAGGATCGGGGATGTGGTCCAATGAATGTTCTGGTGTTGAAACTACGCCAAGCTTTCGGTGTTTTATGTTTAACATTCTCAGGGCTCTACAAAAAGGGAGAAAAAAGTTTATACGTGTTGATAAGAGAAGACGATTTTAAATACTGACTAAGAATCTGTAAGTTATAAAAACAAGTTACAACAACAATGATTTTCACTTACACAGATGAACAATTATAAAATAGTATTTGTTTATATATCCGTTGTAGAGCCCTGAGGAAGGGGAAATAAAACACCGAAAGTTTGGCGTAATTTCAACACCAGAACATACATTGGACCACATCTTCGATCCAACCAAATATATTGCTAAATTACTCAATTAATTATACATAATTCTTTCGATATAAAAATTTGTGTAATAGGTGGGATTCGAACCCATGACTTTCGGCTAAATACGCCGCTGCTTTAACCATTTGAGGCTATCGTGACTTCGATCGCCCATGCCACCAACTTCCTATTTCGACTCCCCGTTTTGTTCCAATTGTGTACAATTAATTGTGGAATTATATAATTAAGCATAAGCTGATAAAAATAATTAAAATGTTAGTATATTGCTGAATATTCGAAAAGCAGGGATCCGTTTAATTTGAGCAATTTGTCAACTTCTCTTCACATTTCGTCTTTCCTTAAACGTGGTAGTAAAAAAAACGTTTTTTGTGTTTTAGTTGAAACTGACGTATTAATTTTGTTTTATGTAGGAAAATAGCTAAAATAATTTTATGCCTTTATCTGAACTAAGCATATTCATAGAACTTAAACAATTATCTGAAATAAAGTTCATTGAGACTTATATTTAAAGTCCGATAACACATATCTGTTCAATCAAACCTTGCTTACCGAAAAGCAAAAATTCGCTTTGTTAAGGCTGTGGTATTTTTCGAGTAATTGGCTTGAGCGTAAGTGAAAGTTGGCGACCGGTTATATGAACCTTTGCCGTAAACCGGACTGCCTTGTTTTTATTCGGGTCAAAGTGGGTGAATCGGGTTTGCTTTTGCTTTTACACCCATGGTCTTTTTTCTAGTTTTGCAATTTCTTGACGTAGAAGGTGATTTATATGCGATGATGATTCATGATTTAAAGCAGTTACGCCCATTGTTTTTGATATATTCTAACGCCAAATTGCAATTTCTAAAATGTCGATGTTATTATTTGAGACTAGTGGAAATTTACTGGCCTGGAAGACATGAGAATGGCAAGAAAGCACTCGTTTGTGTTCAGGGATGTTAAAGATGATCAAATCGATCGATTATCCCTTCCCCGGTTTCTAAATTTGCTAAATCTATCGTCGTTTCGAACGTCATTGACGAAGGAAGTGCGAACTTCAGTGGGGTTGCTCATTTTCTCTAGAGTAAACACACAAGGCCGGGGCTTCGGCACGCTCGCTTTCACTTCCGTCCGCCGAGGCTTCCGGATGAAAGCTGAAACGAACCTGCGACTTTACTGAAACGCCGAAAAAAAAAAAAAAAACGGGTCTTGGACAGGTTCAAGGTTAATTTGCCTATCGCTGCCGAAAAAAGAAAGGCGAACTCAAAGCTTACGTTAAGTACACAAAGAAATCGTGTTTCTACAACACGAAAACTTAGTAAGTTTCAAACGCCCCGTATGCTACTTTAGTGGAATGAAATGAACTGTATTATAATTGCAAATCGTATAAGCCTACGGTTACTATGGATACCAATTCTGACGAAATTTTGTCCTGACGAGTAAGTCCGAAATCCTCGTCCGAACAAGGTGGTTACATCGTGCGCGTTTTATGATGGTCAGTGCCTCCCAGCAAAATGGACGAACTTAAGAGTTTTATTTTCTTGAAAGTCCATTGATTAATCTATTGTTGATAGATGGTGGGAAAACAGAGCGTTAACCACATATTTTCCACATGTGGCGAGAAGGGAGAGTTTCAAACTTATTGCTAGTTCCTTAAAAAAAGCATATTAATCCATGTATGTTTAGCGGACATAATTGACTATATTAATTAAAATGAAATTTGAAAGATGGCAAACAGAGGGAAAATTCGAACGGTTGTGGGTTGAGGTGGGGTAGTGTCCGAGGGGATCGAAGTCACGATAGCCTCAAGTGGTTAGAGCAGCGGCGCATTGAGCCGAAGGTCGTGGGTTCGAATCCCGCTCGTGACAATAACTTTTTCGTCTCAACCAAAAACTTTAGATAAAAAGGATTATTCATTAGTATAATTAATATGGTTAATTATGACCCCTAACCAAATAAGGCTTATTGCTAGTGTTGATTCCTTGAGAGGCTTTCTCCCTCTTTGCCCGAGAAATACCTCTGGTGTGATATTTTTGTCGCTCATGTCCCACAAACACCGATTCTCAAAAGCAAGACTAATCAGTTTATCTATATCTATGGTGAAATACCAAAACTGTCTAAATTGAACGTCAGAACGCCCGAATAGTCCTGACGACATCGTGCGTGTTCTGGCATGCACTTCGCTGCCAAAATAAACACATTGGAAAACAAGTATTTGTTTGTTCAGACGAACTCGTCAGAATACGCATCCATTGTAACCGTAGCCTAAGTGCCACAACATAGGATGGTCACACGCCGAAGATCTAAAAAGACCCAGATAAAAAATTGCTTCAGATTTTATTAGAATAACGAGTAAAACTTTGTGTTCACGAAATGAACTTTACTAATAATTAGTAGAGTATGCCAGTAACTCTAAAATAATCTTTCTGCCATTTGTACGCAGTTCAAACTGTTCGGTAGATAATAGTTAAAGGATGGACAGAAACAAAAGCGAAATCGAATGTATTCAGATTCTTCAAGGTAAAGAGTAACGAAGATTTGGTTTGCAGGGGCTGCTGGACATCGACCCGAATAAAGTGTCTCTCCAAGTGCCCAACGAGTTCATCAGTGGTGGTTTCAATGTTGTAAACAGAGCTGCACCTGTAGTCGGCGAAGTTATACAGGTAAAACCGTTAAAACAATCAATTACACAATTAATATTGCACTTAACCTGAAAATATCATGAGTTCTGAAATTAGTTTTTAAAAAGAAAATCGATAGTTCTGGATTATTGTCGAAATACAGTCACTACATCAGGTTTATAGTTGCCGGAATTATTTAATAACAAATTTCTTTACGATTTACTAACTGCTGAATATTTCAAGATAAGCAGAAATGTCGTCTGAGGGTTTCCGTGTATACAGAAACTCATCGTTGAAGATTTGTATATGCAAAAACGCATCTAGTAAGCCTGAAACACAGCGAGACTGGGCAGACCAGGTTGATCGGAAAAGTTCAGATAGCTTCGTCACTCCACACTTAATAATACATTTCCCAAAACAATAGAACTGTAAAATAAATTAGTAAATGTTATCTGTTAAACATGCCAACATTTTTATATCTAGCAGATCAATTAAGATAAAACACGTACGAACGAAATTTTATGTAGTTTTGTCCCAATATCTATTTCATATCTGTACCACAAAGAAAATATACGTGCTCTCCTTCTGAAGATTTTGATCGTCGATAATCAGTGTCAACACAAAAAGTCTACAGTTTTTCTGTTGTAGAAGCTGTTGTATAACAACAATTTAGCTTCGTTCACACGGTTTTTTTAGAGACAAACTTTAAATTATATTTCGTGTTTAAAAAACGTTCACATACTTCATAAATTTAAATTTTCTTTTACATATTTATAAAATTAATGCACCATTCTAGAGCTGTATTGACGTTAATGAGGTTTAGGAACAGTATGATGCTCTTTAACCTTAAGGCACGTGCTTGGAACAAGCGTACTTTCACCTTCTTCCAATTCGTATCACGTCGGATCAGGCTTTTTCTTTTTTAAATTAGTTTCTTGCTTTTTTTCTTGCAGAAAACGGCGCAAAGAATCCTGAGGGTGGCAGTTGGCCTGAAGCCGATCCTGGGCAGTTCCCTCGGCTTCAAGGCGGTCAAAAGGCAGGTGGAGAACAGCGAATACGCGCCGAGCGAACCAGAAGAAGAGTCTCTGGTACCAGAGGGCGAAGACATCCCTGCCGAGCCGAGCTCACTGAGGAGGAGCTTCGTCGCACTGTCTGAGCGTTGACAGTACACTGAGCGTAGTCATTTTCCACCAAATGAAAATTGCTTTTCAATTTAGGAATAAATTATGGGACTTTCTGAAGGAAATCATTCGTTTTTGAGTTCCTACTTCGAATTTAAATTCTCGTTTAGGAGGATGGACATCGTTTCAAAAATTTTGTTTTTACGATATATAAAAGTAGTAGACCCTAAACCATAGATTCCCTTCAAATGAAGAAGAAATGTCAATTTTTGGTATATAAAGAATTTTTTTTAAATTATCTATTTCAGTAGATTTCTGTAGATATTATCATCCAAATAATTATCAACTAAAAGCCGACATGACATTAAATTCTATATACTATGTTTAACAATAATTTCTTCAAGAGAATTCTGTATATATTTTAAAGCTTTTTATCTTAATACTCATTAAATATATCTGGTCAACTTATAAAATAAAATACTTTATACATAAATAACTAAATAGCTTTTTTAAAACAATGAATATTTAGAAATGTGTAACATACTTTATATATTTATATCTTCAAAATTAAATATTTTCATTTATAAAATACACAATTAATCTTTAACTAGTTCTGTTTGCATCAGTATTTACTTAAAATAGCACAGCAAGTGCGAAAAAATAATTTACCAAAATTATTTTAGGTTGTTATGTGATGCATTCCAAACTTTCACTTGACATTTGATCTTTATAAATGACTGTTATTTTGTCATAGGCAAACAATGTCCGTCGCAAAGACAGGAACTACTCTCGCTCAATAATTTACCTAGTTATAATCAATGATGAGGATGTTTCCTTAATAAATTAAAATAAAAATGAAAATGAACAAATATATTGAAAAAAAAATTAAACTTGTAGTGCTGGGAACTGTTAACTCCTTAGTATTACCAAATTAATTTTAAAAGTATTGTATACCTCCTATTTTTATTTATAGTTTTTATTTATAAGTTACAAACAAGAGCAGCAGTTACAAAAAAATTAATCAAAAGATATTTTATAATATGTGATTTTTTTATATGTTTGTATTTAAATTTTTGTAAACTTTTTTCCTAAACTTTAGTTTTATAATAATTGATACATTGCGTTAGTTAATGTAGTGTAATTTTTTTGTAAATATAATTAAATAGTGCATTCCGATCTCCTTTTTATCCCAATTTAAAATTATTATAGTTTTCCTATCATTAGAATAAACATGTTACTTTTGTTTCATATCTTCATAAATTATTATTACAAAAGACACTAAGATTTTAATTATTATCAAGATTTTCTTAATTTTTAATGTTCTTTATTGTTTAGTTGACAACAATCTTTCACTAATTTGTATGAATATAAGTTATTTAAATTTTATTATTAAAATAATAAGGTGACCCGTTAGCTTGAATTTTTGAATTGGATAAATGATAAATTACCTATACCGTTAGTTGGGTTTCATTTCAAATAAATTTGCATTACCTGGGATTATGAATCGGTAAGCTTACTTTTAATATTTTAAATTAAACTAAATCAAATATTGGAATAAGTCAATAACTTGATTGTAACAACACTAGCGAAATCGCAATAAATATGTTATTTAAATATGAGAATTCAAATTTTAGAAGTTTAAAAAAAATGTGCCCACCTAGCTTTAAGTCCTAAATTAAAAAAGGTGAAAAAATCATTGACAAATATAAAAACAGTAAGTGCTACTACAAGGTCAAAAGTTATTTTTTAATTGTATCAAAACTTTGAAAATTGTTCTCAACTTTTGAATATATTTGGTTATAACTATATATAATATTCTGGTAGTTACTGATATGATGGAGTTTCTTTTATGTCACACAAAATTCCTTCAACTAGTCCATTTATTTGAACTTAAAAGTTAGTCAATATAGGCAAATATTCAAAATTACATTAATTAATTTATTTGACATGTTAATAAATTTCTTTATCAACTTTAAGTATATAATTTAGCTGATTGCACAAGATAAAACATAACCAAAGTATTTGAAGAAAACCAAAGAAAGAATATACTAAACCAAATGACCTCATGGCCAAGAATGATTCTTAATATACGAAAAAATTGATTTTTTGTAAATAGAAACATTTCCATTTGTTAGAAATTAGGTTTAGTTATTTTTTCAAGTAAAAATATTTGATATTTCTTGTTGAAATCTGTTGTGGGTTATGAACCTGTAGTTCTGATCAATTTGATCTACAAAGACCAATTACTGATGATATCAAAATGCTGAAAAAGATCTGACAGATGTCTGGAAACATCAAAACTACAAAAACATGCTGATTACAAATTGTTATAGTTTATTATTAAAGTAATTATGATGCGTAAATGAGAAGAATGGGTCATGATATTTTGTATGCCCAAACCACACTAAATGGTCAGCCATGAACAATTAACCTTTGATGTCATATTGTGAACTTAGCCCCTCAGGTAGACCTCATTGAATATCAAGCTTATCATTAGAAAACGCTTGACAGAAATATCGAACTTGCTTAACTCCAATATTCTAAATGAAAGCAATAAAAGCGGTATTAACTCAAAAAACTATGATACAGCCAAGTATGATTAATTTAATACGCAATACGTGAAAGTGGCGTTTATTGGTATTAATAGTTATTTAAAAACAGTTCATACTACTCAAAACCAACCACCATGAAGATTTTAATATACCAAAACTTACTTGTTTGCTTAGAACAATCTACATATCCACTCTGTCACTAATACAAATTCTGCGACAAGAATACTTCTAGCACTCTACCACTGCCAAGGAAAAACCTAAAAAGAAAAGCTCGAATAATTTTAATCATGTTAAGTTCGGTGTATTGAAATATAGGAATTAATACAGAAAAAATCCTAAAACTAAAAGTAAGCCAAACAGTTAAATCATGAAACATATTTCTTAATATAATCATGTTCCTCTTAGAGATCAAGAGGGAAGACTGCTAGAATAATGCAAAAAGTATTCCTAAAAAAAGTAAAAGATAGAGAATTCTGTATATTTCCTCTGGTGTGGAAAATGGAAGTGAAATGAAAATCTATCTACAAAACAAAGGCTTCAGTACTCATAAGATTTTTGAGTAAGCAAGTACATAACATTTAATTTAAGTTTAATTTTTCATTAAGAGTATACTCTGCAAACAAATAAAACTTATTATTATACAGAAAAAACGCGTATAAAACTTCACAATTAAACTAAACCATACATAACTAAGATGGAATAAAAACCACAAGCGTGTCAGTGGCATCCAAACCGGTGCAAGAGTAAATAAATTTAATATAAATAAACAAAATACTGCTTTTTTGGATATTTAACAAACGTTCTGTAAGCAAAGCAGGTCAGAAAATGGTCGGAAAGCTTGGATTTGTCGTTATTGTCAATTCTAGCGTCATAAAAACCTTAGAAACCGACATTCGCGGAATTGTTGATTAATTTTGTCCAACCGTGAAAATTGGCCCACTAGCTTTTCGAAAAATGACGTTAGAACTTTCACTGTTTTGTGCGAGAAGGTTGTCAAAATTATCAGTCAAAAAATTTAATTTAAACCGATTTCCAGGAAAGTTGGTATCTAAATGTTTTATAACAATTGAATCATGACAATGATGTCAAATCCAACTTTTGACCATTTTCTGACCTTCTTTGCTTACAGAATGTTTGTTAAAATATGCAAATAAACAGTATTTTGTCGATTTATCTTCTTTTAGTAAATTTCTTTATGAGGGCATTTCAAGTATGAGGTAGGTAATATGAAGCCCATTTGTATTTCGGGTTCGACTACCGCTGGATTCGAACCCGAATCTTTACAAATGTTTTATATATTTTTATGGTTCATGTGTTGTTCCAAAGCTACGTTCCACTTCTTTAAAATGGTATGTTTGACATTAAAATCCTTTTTGCCGTTTTTGAATTACAGCCGTTTCGATTAGATATTCCTATAACGAATTCTCAAAAACCAGAAAAATTTTAAGGGTCAAAAAATTGATAAATTAAGTTCAAACAAATATTTATATTTAGGAGTCTCTAGAAGTGCTAAAAGGAAATTTCATATTAGTTTCACGAAAACAAAATTTATGACTTAGTTTTCGTGAAAACTAGTTTGGTTTTTAGAAATATTTTGGTTATTGATAGTTTGATATTTTTCGTATATTTTTATTACAATGTGCATAAAAAAATGTAAAATGATATATCCACAAAGTTGATACGAGCAAGTTGAACGGCGAAATAAAGGTATTAAAAAACTAAAAATTTCAAATTTCAAAAAATGTTTCGGTGAATCCAGGAGCCTATTCACTGTCCAATATTTTGGAGTGTTGAATAAACTACGGGAACTATTTTATATCTGTACGTATTTTTAGGAAATGTTTGTATATTTTTCGTTTTCTTCTTCTAATATTTTTCTCATTAAAAACTGTAAATTGTTTGCAAATAATGTTTTAAACTAAGTTCATTTATTTCGGGTGTGCCTTCAACCTCCATCTCCTGGATTGCTGAAGAACTATCTGCTCGAGTCACCCGGTTGCTTTCTCAAAAATGTTTTCCAAACATGTTTTCAAGCTAGATTGACAAAAATCATAAAATGTTTTTTTTCTATAATTATGTGCTTTAATTAATATTACTCATGGAACAAAAGAAATCTACAAATACATTGTGCTATTTGTGGCATTGTTATGTAGTTTTCAAGCCGTCTCGCTAGATTACCCTACCGACACGTTTTTCTTCAGGTTGGCTTAAGGGAATCAAGTTAGCATTTTGTTTAAAATATACAAAATTGTATTGTTTTATTTACATAAAATGTATTATTTTTCTTAACGCCCGGAAAAAATTATATTTCATAATTACAAGCAGTCACTCTTCGAAAATATTTTTGGGCGATTTCTGTATAATATGGAGAACGTGGTAGTGTGGTGAAACTTCACTAGCCAATGAAGTTAATTTTTCTTTTGTCCTTAAAGCCAAATAGTCATGACGGAAAACGTCTTTGTATTTGTCCAATGCAAGACCTGTCGTTATATTTTAATTGTGCTCCCAAGTATTATTTTTATAATAGTTTACTTTTTGATGTTGTTCTTGATCGCAAAGGCTCAAAATATTAAATGAACTTGACCCACATTTTTCTTGAATTTTTTTTGGAACTGCTGGATTAGTCTGCCCGGGCTCACAATAAACTTTTTTATCGGACAGAATTCTTCCACGTGATCCATTTTCATCACTTGTGATTACGCAATGAAGGGTCGTGTCGTACGAGTGACAAACGAGAAGTGCCTGCTGCCTGGGTTCAGTCCGTTCTGGTGGTTTTCAAACTCTGTGTTATAAACCAAAAATGGACTTTCCTCCAAATTATGCCTCGTAACATTGGAAGACGTTGCTAAAATTTTACTCAAAACGAACTAATTTCCTCCTAACGTACTTTTTTAGCA